ACATTTTACGTATTTACATTGTTGAATTAGCAATTAGAATAAAACACAAGTACACATTGATCCATGTATTAATTTCCTTCTTCAGAAAGCTTTAACTTTTTCCTTAGTGCTTTTTTCTTACGTTCGGTTTTGGTGTCTACTCTATAGTTTTCAATAACATACTTTGCATGGGCATAACATCTAACTTTGAGGTAAAAATTTACAAACTTTTCAAGCATTTTAAATTTTTGTTCATGTTCAACAATTTCATGTGCAGTTGCATCAAGAAAATTATTTTGAACTGATACATTCCCCAGTGACTCAGATAGTAAAGAATCTGTACAAATTTGTTTTGAACTAGAATTAATTTTTTGCCTAAAAATACCCTCAATAACTAAGAACATATTAATAATTGATGCCTTAGGGTAAATAAGACCTCCTCGACTTAAAGCTTCAATCAGTTTGGTGGAGGTACTGGTGCTACCCAACCCATCTGACCTTGTTTCCTTGCAGGCATTAAGTATTGTAATGTCTTTATCCACTGTAGCAACATCTTGACCATTACTTGCAATTTTCCTCTTTAACTTGCACAGTTTGGAACCTACATTTTTTAATACCGCACCAGCAATGTATGCAACAGATTCCTGTTCAGCATCTGACAAATCCAAATCATTTACCAGAGCAGTAGAATCACAGTGTAGATACGTTTTTGCTACAGCCTGTTGTAGATAAAACAGAAACCATGAACAGAAGTCAGATGTAATACCAAGAGCATCAATTATTGACTTCGTAATGTTCTCATCGGTCCATATCTTGTTGAATTCCTCCCACATTGCTTCTCTTGCAGTAGTTATAAAACGTGAAGAAAACTTCGTACATGTTTTTTCGAGTCTTTCCTTCAAATCATCTGACGGAAAAGCAGGTAAAGGTTTTCCAACAAACGACTTATATGATGCCTGTAGAGAGCATTCAACATTTCATTTTTCTTCATCTGAAGTAAAGCATCCTTCGCCAAATCACATATATCTGCCAGGATGACCTTTTTTTTCTCGATTTTCTAACTTTCTTTGGTTTACCCTTCGGCTTTTTGGCTCTTTGTTTTTTCTTAGAATTTTTTTGAGCATCTGTGGTGGCAATTTTCTGGTCGGCAGTTAAAGTTTCGAGACTACATTCAGTGGTTTCACTTGAAGATTTTCCAGTTCGAACTTCGACGTTTTTTTCGTCACAAAATGCGATGGGAAAAGCCTAAATTGATATGTGGTAAAAATAATATGGTAAATAAAAACTGTGAAGTGTAAATTGTGCTAACTTTTACATATTTCCCTCCAACAACAACATGAAAGATAAATAATTTTATACATAAAATCACACTGATCAGACTTCGCATGCCAGTGTCAGTGAAAAAATAAATCGCTACACTGACACTGTATTTATTACATCTGAAATGATAAAAGATGTGTAAATTTAGAAGCAAACCTTACCTTCTCAATTTCAGCTTCATCACTTGATAATACATCAATAGTAAAATAACTGAAGTCCATTCTGTTTCTATTTTCTGAGAATTGCCAATATATTTCTTATAAACCGGAAATGTTGCTTGCACAACTTGCATTGTTTTGTGGGAAGCCACAAGATATAACCGGAAATGGCTTTGATGTATGCCGGCATTCCAATCCATCCTACTTCCATTATCTATGTATCAACATTCCAGCGATTTGTGGCATTAACTTTGAAAGTATTGTATTATCGTCGCATTTTGTGACAGTAACTGAATGTTTCTAAAGTTTCATTCATAAATATTTCTTCCATGGGTTATATACGGCTTTTGTTGAACGATTGTATTTTTGTAAAGAATGTGCATCGGGGAAATCCATAGTTAGTTCTTATAATACGTCAGGGTGTGTACTTAGTTGCGTGCCCAATTTAGTTTGTGCCAACAAGGCAAACAAGCTAGTTACGAACGACTGTCCATGGCGTGCGTGCGCATCTCTTTGGGAACCTAACGCGGGAAGCTTTTGATTACGTGCTGTAGATTTAGATGCGGTGCCTAATATTATAAAAGAGTTGTAAATTGTACATGCATTGAGATTGACTTGAGAATGTTTTGAGATTGACTTGACATTTGGTTTGGTTGGAGTGAATTAAACTTTCTTATGAAAACTTTTCATATAGAAAAGCTGCTTGCATCAGTGTAACTACTTTGATCTTGCTCGTATTCTACGCGCCCCGATATTTTATGCTTATTTGTTCGTTTTCGGTCTCATCTGTCTGATATCCGTACAGTATATGGTTTAAGGCCAATGAAAGGAAATTTTAAAATATATGTAGAGCGAATAACGTAAAATGTCATAGCACTTCTAAATATTTGGAAAACTTACCGTCGATTTCACCAAAATTTGACCACAAATTTTCCGAACTACGTTGCGAAGTTCACAAGATTGTTGAGAAGTTCAAAAGTTCATAATGAGATTCACAAACCAGTTCGTAAACTACGCATTTGATTGGCTTCTTTTACTTCACGGACCAATCAGGGACTTTGTTTACAAATTGGCTTGTGAATTCCAATATGAGCTTCCGAACTTCGCAACGAACTTGCGAACTTCGGAACGAAGTTCGGAACATTTGTGGTTAAAGTTTCGTGAAATCGACTGTAAACAGGATCAAATTTATCGATCAGTGAAAACTGAGAAATGGCACCGCGTTGTGGAATGGTGTCCGATGTGTCTCGACCTTAATAGTTAGTTTAATTATGTACTGTACTTCTGGTGGGGTGATCGCCACAAGAAATGAACAAAGATCTTAAGACCTCGAAAACAAAGACCACTATGATTCTTTTTCTATGATTCTTAATAATTTATGATTTTCTGGATCTCACGTGCTAGGCAATAATATGTTTATTATCATTACCAATGGAACAGGAATGTCAAAAGTGGGGAAGTGTTGACATATCTACATTCCTTCATAGCAATGGTTTTTTGCACAAACAACTTAAAGAATGAGTATCACGGTAATGCTTTGCGCGCTTGGTCGCAGCTTGTTCGACCATTTTAGGGTGCCCCAGAGAGGGTACCGGGAAAATGGCGACTTTCGTATATTAGGAGTTGTGTGACTAAATCCGCGAATATCCGAACAATTTTCATCATAAATTATTCATTACTCCTGAAATTCTGGGCTGTGAATATGTAGATTGACCTACTGTTAAGCATTTCATAATATTTATTTGCAATAAACGACAAATTGAAGTCTATAGTGTGATGGTGTTTATGTATAAAGAATAATACCGATCATGGCGAGATAGGATTTGTGCGTAAAAAATTAAAGAAGGACGTACATGCGATATGGATTACCAGAAAAGAATCTATTTAATATATTCTCAACGAAGACACAAGTTATTTTGCACGGTACTTGCTTCTGAATTATGGCGAAGACGAGCCTTTGCAATTATCCAATGGAATCTCCAGGCGATGGTAAATACTACATATTTGTTAGTAATGCAATTAATTTCTTTATATTTTACATCTAAAACGATTCATTATCTACGTCCCATATGATCTTCAACACCTGTTCATAAAGGCAAACCTGACCGAAATTTGTGTTTGTCAGCCATAATTGTCTATGAGGCTGACAAATGACATGTGAGTGTTGAAAATAATAGAACGTAAGAAATACAGTAGATATCATCCTTTAGCTGTGTTTAAATGCTTTAATAGTAGTGCCTTGTTACATAATGCCTTGTAGTGTCTTGTTACATCATGTGTTCTTCCTTGAATAACAGAATAGGGGGGCTGTTTACTGAATATAGAAGCCGGGCTTGTCTGGTAAGCAGGATGAATTTCTCTCGTGTATTAAAGATGGAGAAATCTTTATTCTGGTAAACGACATCTCACCTCTTTCAAGGGGTACTTAGTTTTAGTATAAATTAAAATAAGTACACAGTGAGATCTCGCTTAACAGGCTGTCTCACTAAGAGGGCCAGCCCGGCTTCCGTACAAATTAAGTCTTCAGTTATTAGCAACGGGTATATCTTGTATCTTATCTATTTTGTTCTTTATTATTAAATTCATATGCTATTATATACAGTATATATCCTCAACATCAAGATTTTTCAACCAATATAAACATATGTCATCAACAAATGCCCTTCGTTTGGCTCATCTTGGCTATTTCACATTGATGGACGTGCTCCGGTTATAAAATGGAAATCAGGGTTAATTTCATTTACTTTTCCCTAACAGAGCCATGGATGTTGCACCTACATCGAGAATCTTTCCATATCTGTCAATCCTGAATTTGGATTATGCCATGAAGACCCATCATTTGAGAGTGATAGTACAAGTTTGGAATCAGATCATGATGCAAATAGGTAATTATTACTGGTATTGAAAATTTAGTGTTTTAATAAATAGCAGCATCTTTTGAGTTTTGATGGCAACTCAAATAGTATGCAATGAGTTATCTAATAAAAAATCCACACTTCCCCTGCCACCCTTTTCCATTCCCCCTTTGGGATGTTCTATTACAGTTTATTATCCAAAAAGGATTGCTCATTTCCTATTAGTTCATTTATGATGTTCAAGGGTAAGAGACAATTATCGGATCATTTGTAACATCCTCATTGCAATCCACTTTCTACTAGATACTGATTGTAAACATTACCCATTTCCCATATTTATAGTAACAAGGAAAACCTTTCCATTTGGTATTATGTACTGTACCCTTATAAACCATTTGCTTGTTAGATGTTCAAATATTGTCTGTTTTATAGATTCCCAGAAGAGTATGACCCTTTTGTCTGGAGATACTAGTGGTGGTCGGGAAAATTACAGAAGCTTTTATACTAACAATATAAAAGCAATCATGCATGTGACAAAAATAAACCAATCAGATGGGTTTAGTCAAAACAAAGAATAAACAAAAAATTTAAATTACATTACAGAATATATTAATACAACTATACAGAAAACTACAGGAAATGCAACAAAATATATGAAACAAGTATGGAATATTGGTTGTTTGCAAATATAGATGCTAAATATAGATGTCTGTAAATGCTAAATATAGCCTAGTAATAATACACCCAAGTGGCAATCGAAAATTACATTCTACAGAAACATTAAACATTTTTATAACAGATCAAGTCTTGCAGTCTATGGATCGTAAAGAAGTTAGGGCTTAGTTTTAATAGACTTATCCAAAGCATTTGATAGCATAGATCATTCTATTCTACTAGTGAAACTTCAAACCATTGGTGTGTCTAAATCAGTGTTGGCATGGTTTAAAAGTTATCTATCGGGACGAAGTCAAATAGTACGTATTGGGTCGACGTTGTCGGAAACATGTATTATAACTCGAGGGGTACCTCAAGGATCTATTCTTGGGCCGGCATTATTTAACATATATATTAATTACCTGCCCAATGTTCCAAAAGAGTCCTCTTTGGAATCTTATGCGGATGATTCGAAAATCTATCTGGCATTTTCAATTTAGGATATTGAAACTGCTGCGTTTAAACTTACACAAGATATGGAAAGAATTACCGCATGGTGCTGTATAAATAGTCTGCTAGTGAATCCAAAGAAAACGAAACTTCTATTACTGGGTACAAGTCAAATGCTGAAAAAACTCTCTGGCACAGATTTCCATATAACTGTTCTTGGTGAGAAAATAATCCCACTTCAGACGGTTAAAGATTTGGGAATGACTTTGGATTCAAGTTTGACTTACGACAAACATATTGTCGATACCGTCTCAAAATACATCACTGAATTATGCCAAATCAACAGAGTTAAGCATATTTTCGAAAAACACACTTTATCCCTTATTATAAATGCACTGGTCTTCAGTAAAATGTATTATTGTTCCTCCGTTTGGTCGAACACCTCGAAAAAGAATATATCAAAACTCCAAAGCGTGCAGAACTTCGCGTCACGCGTTATTACTGGAATCAGAAAATATGACCATGTGACGCCTATCCTTCAGCAGTTAGCTTGGCTTCCAGTTGAGTGTATGTTAAAACTCAGGGATGCGGTTATGACATTTAAGTGCATGAAAGGGTTAGCTCCGCCATACTTGTGTGACAAATTCGAAATGAGATTAAAGATCCACAGTGTTAACACCAGAAATAAGGATAAGTTAGACATTCCACTGTATAATTCGGCTTCTGGACAGCGAACGTTTCATTATCGCGCAGTGTCTATTTGGAATGAGCTGCCAAATCATTTTAAAGACATTGACACTTTGGACCGGTTTAAAATAGAATATAAACATCATTTATTGCATCGATTTTTAGAAAGTAGTTGATAGTTTTAAACAATTTGGACTTGTTTAAATTAGCATATAAACGTTTTTACTGTATGGATTTTATTAGGAAGTAGTTAATCATTTTTAAAGTGACATTACTAATAATTATAAAACTTTTAATTTGTGTTTGTATGTATGTACGTATGTTTGTGGGTGTATATATATATTGTTTGTAATATATAAATGATTTGTAATTACCTGCTGAAAAGCCCTTTTGGAAGCAGGCAATATTGTAATAATA